TTTAATAAAGAGTATCTTATATAGTGGTAAATTTGTGTTTTAATAAAGAGTATCTTATATAGTGGTAAATTTGTGTTTTAATAAAGAGTATCTTATATAGTGGTAAATTGTGTTTTAATAAAGAGTATCTTAATTTCAGTTCGACAGAGTAATAATGGCGAAATATTTTTGTCTCAGAAATTTTTACGAAACTAAAGTGCATAATTTGGGCATTAAAACCTTCAGAGGTTTCTTTTACCTAATGTAGCGTGACATCAAGAGTTTTACTAGCTCGCTGAACCGTACGACAAACCCATTACTGGTACCAGAAAAAAAGAAGAACAAAAAGTTAGCTATTGAAGTAAGGGAATTGCCCAGACGGTGGCAAGAAATGGGAAACAATGCAGGAAGTCTGTACCAAACATAACCGGAAGTCTGAACCACCACCGGAAATGACTGTTCATCTATAACGAATACACGTTTTCAAAATTCGAAATCCAACATAAAGAATCTGTCATTTTGCAGGAAGGAAGATGCTTATTCTTAATAAATTTCTGTTTGGTCTCGATTCTGTAAATAATGACGATAACATGAGTAAATATATAAAGAATATCCATGGCAATTAAATTATTTGTTCGAAAGTCTTGAATGTAAACTGAGAAAAAAAAAGTTTTTCCACTTCCAAACTGTTTTTTTATTATTAAAAAAACACGTTATTTTTGGTCAAAAAATTGCACAAGGTTTGAGAAATTTTCGTTTGGTTCTTCAGCACAAGTCGTTAATATTATAATATTTCTTCCAATTACAAAAGGTGAGAAAACCTTTTGGTCTAACAACCAGTGTAACATGATTTTCAACGCACCTTTATCTAGTTTGATCGATAATAAACAAAATCAAATGAACAGCTCCAACAAAAAAAAAAACACACACACATATATATATGAATATGATTTGATTGTCTGCACATACGATTTAAATACCGGTCAATTTGTAAAATCAATGCCTCTGTTGTGACTTTCTTTTATTAATTTCGATGTTTCTATACATCCTTCACTGATGTAATGATACTTGTCGATTACTTTGTTAAAAAATCACGTCAAATACACAGTAGAGCACAAAGGGTGCACACAGTAGCGCCTGATACGTAAATTTTATTGGCACCTTAAATTAAGGGCATATGTATTCCATATGAGGTCATTTGACTACCAAATACTGTTCGACTTGTTTATAAACTTCGTTTTCTGTCACAGTTAGCCTATTTTGTTTCTGTTTCTGAAAGGTACAATATATTGGATATACTATATGACACGCTACTTTTGTTTCGGTCTGTAGATCACAGAGTCCTTGGTTCGAGACGCGACGCTGCTGAACACGTTCCATACTTTCATTTATGAGCATGTTATAAGAATGACAGTCAAACCTGTATTCGGTTCAAAGATCCGAGGAAACTCCGTGTGGTTGGCTTTCTTCCCTATCGTCAGTAATTCAAAGTTAAAGATGGTTGCACACGAATCCTAGGGATCTTTGACCTGACCATTCAGCTCACATGCAGACTGTAATAACACTATTTAAGATGGCGATAAGTCTCACATCCCGTTTTATAATCTATCTATCGCAGAGTTGTCCGTCTGTCTAGTGTCACAAGTTGTTGTGAGGAATAAACCGGTTGTAGCATATACGCAGAAATTTAGTAGAGGAATTTCGGTAGATCCTCCAAAAGTCAAAGTTTAAATGAATAAGTAATCGAACGAACGGTTAGAAATTCGCCTGCCATTCGATTTCACCATCTTAATGTCGGTGATGAGGACCCAACCAGTTCGTGTACTGTAGCCCAAAATAGCGGAAGGGGTGGCCCACGCTGCTCCCGTTCATAGCATTAATTTTTAGCACATGGACCCAGGGGAAGGTTTGTTATGTGGGCTTATCCTCTCTCAGTCATTTTATCCCCCCTCCTCCAAACAATGTAAAATTCAAGTAGCATACGTAGTACTAAATTCAGTCGATTTTTTACTACATTCATCAGCCAATTAGTGAACAGCACCATGTCATGTGAGCATTTCCATCACCTGATGATAACCAAAATGGCAGCTAATAAGGGCAAAAGATGGAATCATACAGTTTTCTTTTTATTTGACTCATTCTTGCAGTGTGTTTACAATGTATAATAACACACTATAGTTTTGAAATGAAATTGCGATTGAATATCTATTCACATTTTAAAGTTCTCTACCAGAAGTCGCAACGGATGCTGGTTTTATTTGTGTTTTCTTTGGTGATTGGGATCATTAGGACTTAAGTCTAACATACCATCACTTATAAGTATTCACACTGTTGCATCTATAGAGACTAAATACAGCTGGTGATTTTTAGAGTGAAGGTCCCATTGACTGGTAAGAACAAAGGAACAGCAAAACCAGAATCTAGCTGATAATGTGCCCGTGACTGCTATTGGACTTAAATATAATTCTTTGGATCGTTTTTTTTTCTTTTTTTCAGTTGAAAACAAAAACTGAACACACGTGAGAATTATAAACATCATTATAGATAACAAGTGTGTACTAAAAAAAATGTAAAGAGCTAAATAATAGTTTGGAAAGAGTGCTTGATTAAGATTAGGTTGTCCTTTTTTATTTTAAAATGTTCGGTATTGATTGACTAGGTATTTATTGCCTACTCCAGCGCCCTCTCTGTTGCCGTGGGTCCCGAGGGCGTGGTTTTGGCTAGTAGTTCACCTGAATATTTTCTTTTATGAATAGTATGATGGAATTTATTGACTGTAATTCATCACTTCTAACAATCCCTACAACTGTGGTATTTCTCAAGTGTACCGTTCTCCCTTACAGTAATCGGGTAGGATCTGCATAATAACTGGAGGTTGGACAAGAAGCGACTTGGGGGAGGGGTAGTACATCTGAATTATCTGACTTTTGACAAAGATACAGAGTGAAAACAGTATACGAAAGTGGGAAATATCTTTATTACGAAAACAAACATACAAAAGACAAAATCCGTGTACTTACGGAGGACAGTGCTTTTATTAGAGCTTACAGAGATTTTTGTGAGGAAGAAAACGAATCCGTTCCAGGTTGAGAATTATATAAGATAAACAATGGCGCCATTGTACCTCAGGTTCATACGTTACCCAGGTTATTGTTAGTCATACCCATCGAAAAATAAGAGAAGTTGTATTCTCAAGGTATCACCTGCTCCCCCCCCCCCCCGTATAAAAGATCGCTGTCTACTTTCACGTAGTATGATTTAATAATACGAACTACTCTGTCATATCAGTGAAAAAAAAAGTTTGTTATCGAATGAACAGTGTACAGTTTACACAGTACAAATAACTTGCACAAGGTTAAGGTGGCTTCATATACCAGTAACCTAGGAAACAAGTCAAAACATACCCTTCACAGTAAGTGACCCAGCTAACAACAACAAAAACTGAATAAACAAGCACAGTCAAACAAACACCATGTAGGCTGTAACAAGCTCAACACTGCTTGGATCAATATTTAGTCTTGGAAGGCAGTAAAAATAGGGCCATAGGAAACGGTGAGGTCAGTCAGGCCATGGACTGACCACCTTTTCATGGCATGTATAACTACAACTTATGTATTAAAACTTGATTCTTTTAATGCAGTACAATGCGTTGTGTGTATGCAGTATTTGCTGTTAAAATGGCTCAAGATTCAATCTCATAGCATTAAATTTTCAAATGATCTTAGTTATCTTCTTGATGAAAGCTGTACGTTAAACCTGCTTAGGGTTATACGCCTTTAGTAATCGTATAGGATACTAGCTATGACGTCATCCAATCAAATACCAGTGTTTCAGCGTTAAACCAGAATATGGTTAGATGGCTGAAATTTTTAAGTGTTAGGTAAACTTTAATAGTTTAATTTACTAAAAATAGGTGCATAAAACACCTAGTATGCCTGCCCATTAGATAACGTAATGTAATTTTTGTCGAAAAATCTGTGTTGACATATCGCACACGTTGGTTGGTCAGTATATCAACTGGAAAAAAAGGAGGGAAACACTTTTAAGCAACACAATGGGCTATCTGTGCTCTGCCCAAACAGGGTATCGAAACCCGGTTTTAAGCGTTGTAAGTCCGCGGGCATACCGCTGTGCCCCTAGGGGCAAATATTTTTATACTAAATTTAAAATTACTTACCATTACAAATGTAACGGTTAATCCCACTTTTCTTTGGTAAAAGAGCAGCTTAAGAGTTGGCGGTGGATGGTGTTGACTAGCTGCCTTCCATCTAGTATATCACTACTAAATTAGGGACAGTGAGCGCAGATAGCCATACATTTGATACGCTAATTGCAGCTTATTTTGGTACTCCTCGATTTATAATATTTTTTTAGAAATGCAGATTTATGTTATTATTTTATGTTTTAAAATACCTTTTGACGTCCCCCAGTGGTACAGCGGCATGTCTGCGGACTTACAACGCTAGAAAACGGGTTTCGATACCCGTAGTGGGCACAGCACAAATAGCCCCTTGTGTAGCTTTGTGCTTAATTACAAACAAAGCCTTTCGAGATAAACTAAAATCTTTAATCAATATTCGCCTCAGAAATGCAGTTTAAAAAATCGTATTTTTATTGTAAGTTTATGTTGATCTCTTTAAAACGCTAAAAACCGGGTTTAGATACCCGTAGTGGGCATAGCAGAGATAGTTGTGTAGTTTTGCGCTTAACAACAAGCAAATGTTGATCTCTTTTAAACAAGTTTTCATCATAAATGAGATATATTCATATGATTAGGTAAATTATGAGCAACTTACACCCTGGCTTTGTTTTTACTCCTTCAAATTATGAAACAGCGAAGAGTTTTCAAAATAATTAGAAGTATAAGCCCATTTTCCTACTTGTGAAATTCAGCCATAAAATGGTACAGGTCAAGTTTAACAGGGGGCGTGACCGTATCCATAAAAACTATGAACACTTAATCGATGTAATGTTTCTGTTAATTTTCATTTATTGTCTAATAGTTTTTTCTTCCCTGCCAGACTGTGAAAGTTGCACAAAGAAGACTGCTGACAGTAACCATGGCAACAGAGATTCGTCTGATAAGTGTGGGCGTGGAGTTGGTGAACAACAGCCTGTTGTTGCTAACAAAATTGGTGGACTCAGACACTTTTTAAATGCATCTGAAATGTATAAAAAAGATCAGAAGCATGTTTCTTCCTCCTTTACATGGAATAGGGTCGAAGCATCAAAGTTTCTGAGTCTTCTTTTCGTACTTCAAATGAAGAAAGATGTCACGGTTTTCGATTCAGTTCACCAGTTGTCTCGTCGGTTCCGGCGCCAGGTTCGTGATGAATCAAAGACTGTTGTGAGTGGTCAAACTGTTGTTTTGACGTGTCCGTCTAATGGTCAGAAAGTGGAAAACGTCGTCTGGAGTAAAGGTGAAGTCCAATTTCAGAATTGAATAGTTAAATGGTTTTTAGTCTGTCAAACGTGATTCTCCACCTACTTCCCATCTTGAAAAGTTAAAAAGCTAATGTAAACATAATGAAAGATTTGGTACTTTCGAGTAAAGCAGAAATATCACTATTAAAATCTTCTTTCTATATATTTCACATATATAAGATGAAAATACATGTTATGACTTTTCTGTCATCCGTTTATTCATGTTTGTATTGATGACAATATTTTTATATAGGTCCTATTGATATCAGCTTGTAGCAATAGCTCAAATTTTTTTTTTCTTTCGTGTGGTCATACCATAATATTTGGATTATCAAGTAGGGCTAGGTGTGGCTGAATGGTAGTGTGCCCGGACTTTAAATCTGATGTGTTTTGTCACGTTACCCCGAATACGTGATTCCAAGAGTTGGCTAAAAGCGCTGTTGACTAGCCGTCTTCCGTATAGCCTATTATTTCAAAATTAGGGAATGTTGTGCAAAGAATGTGTGCATCTTTGCGCAAAGCTACATGAAGGCTATCTATGCTAGCTGCCCCTCATTTAGTAGTGATATACTAAAGGGAAGGTAGCTAGTCAATACCACTCACCGCCAACTCTTGGGCTACTCTTTTACTAAAGAAAAGTGGGATTAACCGTCACATTTAACGCCCATACGGGTGAAAGCGCGAGCATGTTCGAACCCGCGACCCGCAGATTGCGAGTCGAGCGCTCTAACTACCAGGACAGGCCACAATATCTTGGGATTAGCTAATTAAGCGAGAAACCATGCTAAAAATTTACAAAAAAAAATAGTAAAAATCGTTAATTTTATAACGTCTAATGTCTGAAGCAAGAATGTTCTTTTTAAAGACAAAAAAGTCACTTTGTAACTGGAAACATGAGATTGTTGTTTGGTTGTCATTGCAATACTCTTGAATCATAGAGAGAGAACACTAATTCTTAAGAAAACGAATATTATATTTGGAAACAAATTCTGTTATACAATGCATTTAAATCACAAAGTTAAATTTTATCAAAAACGAACATTTTGTTTGGAAATAAATTCTGATACGCAATGCAGTTAAATCACAAAGTTACATTTTATCTCAAAATGAGAAATGCTGAAAATGTCAGCATGTGGAACTATATTTTGCTGATTATGTTAACAGCTCTTTAAAATAATACATATAGTTCTAGAGCGACATCTATTACATTATAAATACAATAAAGGTTCCGTTAACTTTCAATCGAGGCCTAAAATAATCACTTTTTGAAGGCTTCAAAATAGAAAGAGAACGCAAGTTTTAATGCTTTTCATTGTTTCAAAAACTGAAACGAACTGCCTGTTTTATAATATGATACATTTACGGTCAAAACAATACACATTTCTCCTATTCTTGAACTATTTTATACAAAGAATGTACGTCTCATGCACTGTTTAAATTTATGTTTGTAAACTCACAAGTTGAATTTATGAAAACTGAGTTATTTACATCAAGAAACTTATATTTCTATGCAAATAGAAGGAATATAGATCCAATTTTTTAGGTGCTTCTATCTGAAGAACTGAACTACGTAATCGTAGGTCTAAAAAACTCTATTATAACTTAATAAATTATTCATCCAATATAACTTCGGTGATTAAAAAATAACGGCATCAAAGCGTTAGGCTTGAGAATAAAGAGAAAAAACAAGAGTTCACGGACGTAAAAGCATTCGTATACGTATACATACCATGAAGTAGAAAAATGGAATGAATGTATTCACGGTTCGTTTCTTACAAAGTTATACCAAATGCTAAGTTAAAAAATATTGCGTCCTGTTTCCACAAAAATCGCGCTTCTCAATTTGAGGCCATGGATATGCTATAAGAATAACGTTCAAATCTATTCTTCGGTTATACAAGAGTTGCTAAAACTTGACGATAGGTGCTCTTGACAAATCTATTAGTTCATAAACAAGAACGGCTATGCACTTTTAACCCTTTTAAGCTTTGCGTGAAAATTCTAAAACAAATAAATGAATTTAGCGCAAATCGTATAAAAGACAAACGAAGCTATTCGATATACTTTTATAATGACCCTTTAAACCATAGAACGGTAAATATTTTATGGATCAGTGAAACAAACATTTTCTGATAAACCTACTCAGTTACCACTCTTTGAACTTTGACCTTCTGACTACCTCATATCTTCACCTATATATTTTATTTCTTACCAGTACAATATCTAGATCGTCATATTTTATATCTTAAAATTTGGTCTATCTATTGGCGAAGTCGTGTCGTGGCTTGGTGGTTAGGGCGATCGACTCGCAATCGAACCCCGTTACTGAACTTGCTCGCCCTTTCAGCCGTGAGGACGTTGTAATGCTATGGCCAGTCCCACTACTTGCTGGTAAAAAATAGTCCAAGAACTAGCGGTGGGTTGTGTTGACGCTACAGTTTATGGCTTCAAAAGTAGGGATGGCTAGCGAAGGAAGCCCTCGAGTTGCTTTGCGCGTAATTCACCGAACAAACAAAGCGAGAACACGCAAGTTTTGAAGAACAGTTTAATTATATTAAAACTATGGTGCACGAATTTCGTTTCGTTTGCTGTTTTTCATAAGGAATAACTATGTGAAAGAGAAAATAATGAAGAAAAAATTATTAAAATACTGATGATGATTATTATTTATTCGAATGATCATTTTAATAATTATATGATTTCAGATGGCCTCACGTTACCTGTCAATCCTAGGCAGAGCATCCTAAGAAACGGAAGTTTGTCCATTCGGGAAGCGACGAAAACCTCTGACGAAGGTACATACGATTGCCGTTATCGTGACGATAGATTTAGAACCAGAAATAATATCATCACTCTTCGAGTTTCAGGTAAATTATAGTATTTCATATTCATTACTTACTTATTTATTCCCGACGGATGCGATTGTCATAACATTTGCTAGAAAACATTGTATTAATTGTATCTTGAAATCTCTAGGCACAATTACGATTTTATTGTCACTTTTGTCGGGATTAGTGTTTCATATGGCACTGAAACAGTACAGGGTCAAACATAAACAAAACATCATTGTTAAGAGTATATACTCTTGTTTTATACTAGTTGTTTATGAAAATAACTAAAAATTACAGGTTATGGTTTAAACGTCGAAAGCTGGCTAAGTATTAGCAACTACTATGCTTAAAATTTTGATAAAAAGCACGTTATTACAAATTTTAGGCTTAATAGTTTCTAATGCTTTAACAGTTTTCGGAATTTCGGCATTTAAACAGTCACTTTTAAAGTATTTTACTGAATATATAAATAGCATTTCGGAGAATCTTTTGTCTTTCATCGTTAAGCTCATCTGACGAGTTCTGGTATTAAATTAAGGGCCTCTGGTTTGTGACTTGTGGGAGACAAAATATAGATTTAAAATGCTATTTTTACACAACTCTGAATTTGAGTCCGCAATGATGAAGTTGTGATAAATGTGGAATAAAATCGTTCGCACTTCACATACTTTTTTATCACAAATTTTAGGCCTAATTGCATTACATTTTGCTATATGTTTCAACCACAGGGTAACTTAAACCGACGCTTAATTCTAGTCCTAATTGCATTACAGTTTGCTGTATGTTTCAACCACAAAGTAACTTAAACCGTCACTTAATTTAAGGCCTAATTACATTACATTATGTTTTAACCACAGGGTAAATTAAACCGTCAGTTGTGCTTGACCAGATTTGATCCTGAACAAACTATGTGAACTAATGTCCCACGTTTACTGCAGAACTTATATAGAAATGCACAAAGAAATAAACTATTTAGAACATACTTAGGGGCGTAGTGTTTTTTTTTTACTTGAAAAAAATTGAAGTTGTTCATAGGCAAAACACCGAATTTATATTTAAACTAAATCGTTTAGGTATAAATATTATTAGCTTAACATTCTAAGGGGTTCTTCGAGCAATATGAGACTTTCACTTTATCTAGGATAATCTAGAAGCAATGTGAATACCTTATTTTTCGAGTGCTAACGAAACATGACTGTGTATTTTTAGTCCCAACACGTTTCCATTCCATTTTGTTCAAACTATTGTGCAGTGATGCAGACCATAGTTATAGACGTTGAACTCAAACTTAGCGTATCTGAAAGTAGCATAATCTCTTCTTCGACAACTGAGGGTTGTATATTATACTTTAAAGTTTTAATTTACTTTAATTTTCTCCTTATAATGCTGAAAACATTCTGATAAATGTTTTCTAATATACTTTGCTAATATTCATAAAATGCTACAAATGAAACTTTCATCTTTAATTATTTTTGGAACTTTACAAAGAAAGTTGTGATATAAACAGAAAAAACAAACAAACAGGGGCTTTTCTTTTCAATAATCTGAATATTTGTACATTTACTCTGGAGTGTAAGAAACGTTGTAATTTAAAATAAAATACATTAATTTATTGCTTGTATAGGACATTGCTTACTATGATTAAAGCCACTCAACTCGTTAAACCAAAGTTAGGCTTTGCTGGCATAGCTACAGAAAACCGCCGTTAAAGCATTTTTCAGACAGCTCAGAATTTTTAAAGCTATTTTTAAGAGCGAAGTGTTGAACTTCAGAGTTTGTTTGTTTGAAAACAGGGCCAAAATAATAATAATAATAATTAAATATAATAAAAAAGCATTTTCTGATCCATCCCCGATTATCCTGTTTAATAATTGTAGTTTTCGGAAATTCAAATATTATATAATCAACAATAGCAGTAACGTGTGAGCTTTAGTGTTAGATGGGTAAATTTTGGCTGTACCAGTATTGTCCAACTTTTGAATGCTGATCGGAGTGTACTAGAAAGGCAGATAATCCCCCAGTAGCTCAACAGTAAGTCCGCAAGGTTATAACGCTAAAACCAATGTTTCTTTATCTGTGGTGGACACAGTGCAGATAGCCTATTGTGCTTAAACTACAAAAGAAACAAATGAAGAAGAAAGACAGGTAGTGGCAGTGTACTGATCGAGTTCTATAATATGTACATATATTGAATTTTACTTCTTCATTGGCTCTGGCCTGTAGCCACCTAGCGGTACTGCCAACGTAAACTCCAAGGCATCGAGGGCAACAATACTTACAAACAAGGAGCGCATGTTCTATTTTGCGATTTTTAAACTTTTATGTTAAAAAGAAAGATGTAATTATGAAAAGGAAATAAACCTAACCTGTACATGCAAACAAAACTTAGAAAAAAGAGTTTGAAAAATGTTGTTCCATATTTGAAAAGAGTGAATGCCCAAAATAAGAAAGTGTTATGAGCACATTAAGTTTAAGCATGGTAGGATGATTAGCTTGGGAAGCAGAAAGCTTGAACAGCTGTTGCTATATCATTGAACGTATGAATTGGAGTGGAAACTCTCTAACTTGTAGTTTCTTTATAATGAACTTTAATTATTTCTTTAGCGGATCTGGTGGTTAATTTGGTCACTAAAGTTTATTTAAAACTTTCAGATGTGAAGCCAAAGAAATGTGCAGATAAACCATGGGAATGTAGATTATGATAAGCCTATTTTTAAATTCTTGATTGCAGTTAAAACTTGAGCTTTCAAAAAAGGTAGTATTGGTTATTGGTTAAAGGAAACCTGTTGGATCAGCAACGATCTAATGGTTAGCATGCCTGAGCCGTGAACTCGAGGGTTCATGGCTTATGCCTCTTTGTCGCAAAAAACCGCACTATGCCAAATTTCATCATTCGGTCAGATAAGAGTAGCCCAAGAACTGGCGGTAGGTGCTGTTGACTAGCTGTCTTCCTTTTAGTCTGTTACTTCAAAACTTAGAAAAAAAAAAGGACTATGCGAAGATAGCCCTTGTGTGTTGCTCAGCGTGAAATTTTTGGAACAAACAAACAGAAAACTTTTTGAGGATGCTTACAGTATAAACAATTTTGATATCTTTGACGTGAGTGAGTTTACAGAAAAAAAAGAAGTGATATTGCAATGGTTTAAACACGACACGTTAAACACGTTGCTCAAGATAAGATTTAAAGATTATTTCATGGCGATATCACATAATTATTTGATAACAAATTCCATTCAACAGAAAAGGAACTTGCTACTGACCCACCATAACTTAATATTAATGATTATATACATGTACTACATAATAGGAAGCCAGTATTTTGATAGTATTTTTTCCTTCCAAATTTGCGTTCAAAATACTTGCATTAGACGTAATTTTTATACTGCTTTTTTGCTTCATTGTCTAAGGCCTCCTGTGGCTCAGGGGTAAATCTTAGGACTTTTCATGTTTGGGCTTGACATGGCTTGATGGTTAGGGTGCGCGACTCGCAATCTGCAGGTCGCGGGTTCGAATCCCCATCACCAACATTCATTGGTAAAAGAGTACACCAGGAGTTGGCGGTGGGTGGTGATAACTAGCTGCCGTCCCTCTAGTCTTTAACTGCTAAATTAGGGACGGCTGGCACAGATAGCCCTCATGTATCTTTGCGTGAAATTCAAAACAAACTAACAAACAAACGCCAAGATTCGCACACTGGTGCAACTTTATTTTCCTCATGTTTTCACACACCCCCTCCGATAACTCAGCGACAAGTTCGGAAGGCTTAAAACACTAAAAACCAGACTTAGATACTCGCAGTGAGCAGAGGACGAATATCCCATTGTGTAGCATTGTACTTAACACAAAACAAACGATCAAACTCATGTTTTATTAGATATTTTGTTGACACTTTGCTGCTATCTTATTTCTGATTATTTGTTTGTAGTTAATCACAAAGCTACAAAATGACGGGTATCGAAACCAGGTTTTTAGCTTTGTAAATCCACAGACATACCGCTGTGCCACTGGGAGGCCTGATTATTTAGCAATTTTTTTCCGGATTATAGCTGTTAATAGGGATCCTTTTGAAAATCTACCAAGAACACAAGAAAGCCATTTGAAGCTTCGCCGAAAGTGTGTTATGAAATAAAGCTTGTTTTTACTACACTGGGCAGTACAAAAGATACTGTTGTATCATGGCATGTTTATTAGATACTGATTCAGCGAGATTAATTTAGATGTTAACAAGATACTGTTGAATCATGGCGTATTTATTGGATGCTAATTCAGCAAGTGTATTTCAGATGTTAACAAGATACTGTTGAATCATGGCATGTTTATTAGATACTGATTCAGCAAGTGTATTTCAGATGTTAACTGTTGAATCATGGCGTGTTTATTGCATACTGATTCAGCGAGTGTATTCCAGATGTTAACTGTTGAATCATGGCGTGTTTATTAGATACTGATTCAGTGTATTCCAGATATTAACTGTTGAATCATGGCGTGTTTATTGCATACTGATTCAGCGAGTGTATTCCAGATGTTAACTGTTGAATCATGGCGTGTTTATTAGATACTGATTCAGTGTATTCCAGATGTTAACTGTTGAATCATGGCGTATATATTGGATGCTGATTCAGCGAGTGTATTTCAGATGTTAACATTGTAATTAACACATATGGGCTTTTTGCACAATCAGCAAAGCTTTGCTGTCAGAGGTGGCCCGGCATGGCCAGGTGGTTACGGCGCTCGACTCGCAATCTGAGGGTCGCGGGTTCGAATCCCCGTCACACCAAACATGCTCTCCCTTTCAGCCGTGGGGGAGTTATAAAGTGACGATCAATCCCACTATTCGTTGGTAAAAGAGTAGCCCAAGAGTTGGCGGTGGGTGGTGATGAATAGCTGTCTTCCATCTAGTCTTACACTGCTAAATTAGGGACGGCTAGAGCAGATAACCCTCTTGTAGCTTTGCGCGAAATTCAAAAACAAACAAACAAACTGTCAGAGGCATAAAACATGAACAACTGAATTAATATAAATATCATTAAAGTTTGAAAATGAAATTATTTTTTTCTCATGATAACTTCCCTATTTACTAATAATTTGTGTGCATATCTACCAATGAATAATCTAACCAATGCTCCTCGTAATTATGAAATGTACATAAAAGAATGGGCCCGGCATGGCCTGGTGGATAAGGCGCTCGACTCGCAATCTGAGGGTCGCGGGTTCGAATCCCAGTCCCACCAAATATGCTCGTCCTTTCAAAGAGGGAAGGCTGTCAAGTGGGTTGCATCCTTGACATAAGAAACAGCTTTAGAAACGATGGCAGAAGCAAGATCTGCCATCGGGAAAAAAAAAACATTAAAGAATGGTAAGACTTTTTATTTTTTGTATGGGATGTAGTTTTTGTTATAAATGTGTATATTTACAGGGTAGCATAGAAAATAATAAGACTTAAGAGCATTTATTAAAGAAATTTACATCCTGACAACAGCCCCTATCAGAATATATGCTGTAAACACAAACGGGTTAGGCCTGTTCAAAGCGATTTATGTATACGCTGTCAACACAAACGGGTTAGGACTGTTCACAGCGATTTATGTATATCCTGTAGAAACAAACGGGTTAGGCCTATTTAAAGCGACTTATATCATTATTATTGACATCATTCTTGTGCTGTGTGAAGAAACACGTTATATTTATGGTGCACCTGAGTCATCTTACTTTTGGGCTACCATGTATATGTATATATTTATTTTACCAGAAAATAATATTATATACTGTACATTTAGTAATATTTTGTACGTGTTGTGGTAAATTGTAATCTGTAAGTACAATTACTTGTTGCTTTGATTGTCATACATGTATTTTAGGCCTTCCCAACTAAACAGACGTAGCTCTGGAGGTTGAAATACTTGTTGAATGATTTAAAGATTTTAGTTCTGATCACTGTAAATATTAATTTTCTGTAACCTGTAGGTGTAACGGTATTAACTTCTAATTTTGTTGAATGATTTGAAGATTTCAGTTCTGATCAGTATAAATATTGATTTTCTGTAAACTGTAGGTGTAACGGTATTACCTTCTAATTTTGTTGAATGATTTGAAGATTTCAGTTCTGATCAGTATAAATATTGATTTTCTGTAAACTGTAGGTGTAACGGTATTACCTTCTAATTTTGTTCAAAATTTTAAAAAATATGTAATTTCATTTTCTAAAGTGTTCATATTTATACTGATAAGAAATTTTGAAATAAATGAGGAACTCAAAAAAGCTTGATTTTTCAGTACGGATTATTAATAAAACGTTATATATATATATATATTCTTTTTTTTTTAGAATCCCCCGCCATCTCCGCATTTCAGTTTCCTCCAGATCTTGTAGTGGGAATGAGGGTAAAAGTAATGTGCTTTGTTATTCTTGGAGATCCTCCATTTCTTTTGCAATGGCTGAAAGATGGATCCACTCTCTCTCCCAGCTATGGTTTAAGTGTACAGTACTTTCAAGATTATAGTATCCTTTCGACAGAAAACTTACTCCCAAGACACTCAGGCAATTACACCTGTAGTGTCAATAACGGTGCAGGATCGGCAAGTTACAGCGCCCTCTTGACGGTAAATGGTAAGAAAACATTTTTAGAGCTTATTAGATAAATAATCTTAAAAAGGCCATCACTGACAAGGCTAGAGAGAACGTTTCTAAAGAAATGGATACTGGGGAAAATTCGCAGCCATGACTGTGCCTACCATATACGACTTTATCAAACCAAATTAAATCGTTTGAATACCATATTATCACTTTATTAGTTTGTAAGGACTGATAGTGGGAAGAACTTATGATTTATGCCAGTCGCTTTACGAAACTCACAATCTGTAAATTCGGCAAATGCAAAAAATAAAATAAAATAGGAACAAACGAATTGTCGACTTTAAAAAGCCTGACTGGAACAGATCAAGGGCCCCTGCCAAAATTCTGCCCTTACTAACCAATAAAGTGGTAAATGAAATGGGTGACGTTCAATAGATCTGGTAACTTGATTAGCTAAGCAACCGTCTTGCACGGATTTACAGCTAGCTCCCTTAATTTCAGTTTTGAAGTAGCGCAGAAAACTTCTGATACCTTAACTACACTGACACGTATTTACATTTAAAAGTTCCGACTTAACTGGCCACGTTCTTAAGAACGAATAAATTTTAAGCAACTACTGAAGCTAAGTTGGACACGTTGTTAGGAGAACTGTAATTGATCACGCTTTCAGTTGCTAACAACATAAAAACGGTATTAGTTATTGTTGATGAGAACGGTATTAGTTATAGTTGATAAAAACAGTATTAGTTATTGCTGATAAGAACGTATTAATACGTAATAACGTATTAGTTATTACCTATAACAACGGTATTAGTTATTATTGATGAGAACGGTATTAGTTATTACCTATAACAACGGTATTAGCTATTATTGATGAGAACGGTATTAGTTATTGTTGGTAAAACGGTATTAGTTATTATTGATGAGAACGGTATTAGTTATTGTTGGTAAAACGGTATTAGTTATTATTGATGAGAACGGTATTAGTTATTGTTGGTAAAACGGTATTAGTTATTATTGATGAGAACGTTATTAGTTATTGTTAGTAAAACGGTATTAGTTATTGTTGGTAAAACGGTATTAGTTATTGCTGATAAGAACGGTATTAGTTATTATTGATGAGAACGGTATTAGTTATTGTTGGTAAAACGGTATTAGTTATTATTGATGAGAACGGTATTAGTTATTGTTGGTAAAACTTATCAGCAATAACTAATACCGTTTTACCAACAATAACTAATACCGTTCTCATCAATAATAACTAATACCGTTCTTATCAGCAATAACTAATACCGTTTTACCAACAATAACTAATACCGTTCTCATCAATAATAACTAATACCGTTTTACCAACAATAACTAATACCGTTCTTATCAGCAATAACTAATACCGTTATTGTTGGTAAAACGGTATTAGTTATTGCTGAAATGGGTCAAATAGCAAATCTTATTTGCCTTTTGGTATCGCTTGAATAAAACACAGTAAAATATCTTAACCATTCTAACGACATTTTAGACACACCTTTGTATTGAAAGCTGTCAAGGGAAGAAACATATCTCTATTTGTTAATTTGACTGTGTATTATAATAACAAAGAACGTATTCCTTTTTAATCTATTTTATGGACACTTTAAAGGTCCAATTATTTTGTATGTTTATCACTTCGCATCTCTAAGTGTGAGGTTAAAAGCAAAACTAAAACCAAGACTAACAACTATTTACACTACTCTTCAGGTTCCGCTCAATTCACAAAATTAGGAGCAATCTTTTTATTTTTTCGTTTACCTGCAGTGATTCCGATACAATATACGATATATCTGTCGTATAACCTTCAAACAAATAATGTCTTACCAAGTTCAGACTGGCATGCATGACAGAGAAAATATAGTATAAATACTTGTTCGAAAAAAACAACAACAATAAATTTACAATAATTAAAAAGTCCTTTAAAAAGGCACGTGTAAAGTGAGACTGAGGTTAAATAATATCTCATTTTATACGGTCTTAACAGTGAAAATAAATTGTGTTATGTATTTATATAAATGGATCTTCAAAGAACTGTTTTTGTAAAATGGTAGCATGGCTTCAACAGTAGAAACTACATTGATACCCGATATTTTGCATTGAAATGATAATAAAGTTTACAGAACGGTTGTGGACGCTAAGGAAATGAAAAGAGCTCTATAACGGAGAGATAACTGAGATGTCAGGACTACAAGGTTGACTAAGGTTTCTCGAATTGCAAATAACTCCAGAAATATTTTATGAAACTGTTATGTTCTAGGAATGTTACTCCAGTTTCATGAAGTAGTTGTATATTTGTCATATTTCTCTTCTGCTGATAGTACGTAAGGAAAAAAAAAACAAAACAGAATGCAATATATTTTGTGTACATTTAAAACGGCACATTTCTTTCTACGTTACTGTCTTAAAACAAATGTTTGAAGACAAAAATGTACAACATATACTGAATGGAATGTATGGCTCAGAATACAGGAAGTTAAAGTTTGTTCCTTTTTTTTTAAGATAATATTTCAGGGTAACTTGTGTATTTTTTTTAATTGTTTGGTATCAGAAACACTTAAGATCGTTATTTGGTGAATCTTCATTTGGCGGGTTTCGATACCCGTGGTGGTCAGAGCACAGATAGACCTTTGTGTAGCTTTGTGCTTAACCACAAACAACAACTTATGAAGCTGCGAGTGCACCCTGGTGGATATTTAAGTTACAAAAAGATGTACCAGATTAAGACAGTATAACAAAAGTTACCACAATTAACTCACAGTTTTAGTCATTGCCTGGAGTAGGTTGTCGCTTGTCATGCGACGCCGACTTCATGCCGATCTCCCCCTCTTCTCTTCTTGAGTCACCGGATACCAAAGGGTTAGGGACTATAACATACGGTTTAGTTCAACACGGGTATATATATATCGTTTGGCATAACGTCACGTGTCAATATTCACAGAGACTTCTCGATCCACGGCTTTATACAGTAACGTAAGACCAATGAAAGCACACGCAAGGAGAACAAAGTCGTTGTAGTAAATAAAAAAAAATCCAGATTACTGTTCTGAAAACCACTTCTGTATCCCGTGAACAAAGTGTGATTTTTCACACTCCATACAGCTGATAGAAGACAAACAACCACGTGCTTCACACATGGCTACAGATTTCTTTTGTTACAACCAGTAATTTTCTGTGCTATTCAAGCTGCTCATAATTCACAGTGTCAAGAAGAACCAAATCAAATATTAAATTGTTATTGTAATTACTGCTTGACAAACCGAATGGAGACTTAACTAAGGAAAGAAGAAACTTTAAAAATTTAATTAAAAACATGACAACAACTTTAAGTTTGTCTGTTCTTTTAAGAAAGTCACATTAGGCTATCTGCTGTGTCCACCGCGGGGGGATCGAACCCTGGATTTTAGCGTTGCAAGTCCGTAGATTTACGGCTTTCTCACCCACAGTAAATTGCCCCCCCCCCAGTGGCACAACGCTAGAATCCGGGTTTCGATACTTGTGGTGGGCAGAGCACTGATAGCCCATTGTGTGGCTTTGTGCTTAATTACAAAGAAACAAACAAAGAAACCAACAGTAAAATATTTAAAAATATATAAACGTATACATGAGAGATGATATATATACACAAACTATGTACAACTAAAATGTTAATTAAATTGGAAAGTTATTTAGCACAACAAAAAATAAAGAAATGAAAAGAAAATATTGAAATACAGAAAAGCAATTCTTTGATAGTTACCACCCATTCCAGTTTACTCATCAGAGCCCCCTAGTGGCACAGCGGCATGTCTGCGGATTTACAACGCTAGAAACCGGGTTTCGATACCCGTGGTGGGCAGAGCATAGATAGCCCATTGTGTAGCTTTGTGCATAACTACAAACAAACACACAATACTCATCAGAAAAGTAATGTATTTAACACCAGGGGTTCAATTACCCGCGGTGGAAAGAGTACAGATAGCCCACTGCGTAGCTTTGAACTAAGAAAACAACAACGAATTATTTAAAATAAATGTATTTGAAAAGAATTAAAGCTTTCGTTTTGAGTTTGTTCACTTTCAATAACGGTCTCGTAATTTTCATTAATTCTTCTCCTAAGCAGTCCAAGTTTTCTCATTAGAACTTTTATTCAGAAATCAAGTATTTTCGTTAACAAATTCAATTAGGAATGATTTTCAAATCACCCCTTTCGAATTCACGGAAAGTTGTTATCCAAGGGCCTTCTGCCTACTTTCATGAGAGGCCCGGTATGTCACGGAAAGTTGTTATCCAAGGGTCTTCTGCCTACTTTCATGAGAGGCCCGGTATGTCACGGAAAGTTGTTATCCAAGGGTCTTCTGCCTACTTTCATGAGAGGCCCGGTATGTCACG